GGTGTCGTATACCCCTGTCCATATTCACTGTAATTATCATTACGTGTAGTTGTGTGATATTTTTGAATTACATTCAATATTTCTATCTGAGCATTCAGTTTCCAATCATCGCGAATGGTCTTAAATCTATCGTATAAAGATAGCAAAAAATGCATATCACTGTCACAGGACTTGTCTGGTTCTTGTGTACGAGTATGTGCAGTTACTTGATCGCTGAAATGACTTGTTATTTTTTTTATTAACTCATATTCTGCATCATCTTTTTTTTTTTGGATATTTTTTGGTCTCTTCCAAACTTCAGAGTCACTCGTTTCAGTAGTATTATCGTCTTAATCATCGATTTGTTCGATGTCATCGTCTTTGTTTTGTACTGGTAGAGACGATGTTGTATTTCGATTTTCAGACAATGGCTTTAAAAATAATAATTGACTAAAGTAGTAGTATCTCTTTGAATTACCTGCTGAACCGCTTCTCTGTGAATTTTGTTTTTTAAGGTCTCTGTTGAAAGAGTCTCTTAATCTTTCCCATTTTCTTTGTAAGTTAGCAGCTGAAAAATTAATTGTTAAATTGAAATTTGTAGAAACGTAAGTTGGTAGTTAAATTTGAAAATAACATATAAAATAATAATAATAATATTTTACAATATCGAAATTACAGTGATCAGATCATATAATGATAGATAATTTCTGTATAATATTTAAATATCCATGTTAATAGTTTCAAATTATTCTTAAATTTATGACAGCCAAACATCTTTATATGGTTTGATAAATGATTAGTTTTTCTTATACGGGTGGCATAAGCGCTTTTTGAAAGCGTAATATAATTATTTAATGTACTAGCTTTCTACCCGCGTGGACTATACGTTATGTAATATATTATAAATAAGTAGTATTTAATATTTTAAATTTTTTTTTATTTTACCGTATTAAAATTAACTGGATTTATTTTATATTAGTCCAGTATAATGTAAGATCGATCATTTCCCAAAATGTCATCAGCCTATTGAATGGTGTTAAAAAAGGTTGAAATACCTAATACTTTTAGGGGTCGTTGTACTCTTCAACACGAGCTACTTTTACTATGGGGACACATATACCTACATGACCTAAATGTAGGTATATGTGTCCCCATAGTAAAAGTTGTTCATATTCATGAGTACAGTACAATGACCCCAATGTTATTTATTTCAACCTTTTGTAACACCTGTATAATTCCATTTCATTATTATTTGTTTTTAATATAATTTTTTTGTTATAGATATTTGGCAACGGGGTGTTCGTTTGAAGATCTCGCCGATTTTTTTAAATGTAGTACCTACTTCAACTGCTAGCAAAATTGTCCACGACGTGTGTCGCCTGATTTGGGATAAATTACAGCCTATTCATTTACCAACATATAATAAAACAATGTGGCTTGATATTGCGAACAAATTTAAAAAGAAAGCAACTTTCCCAAACTGCTTAGGGGCTGTAGATGGGAAACATATTAGGATTATTCATCCACCACGCAGTGGTTCATTATTCTTTAATTATAAACATTTTTTTTTCTATTGTTTTAATGGCCGTATATGACGCCGATTATTTATTCGTGTATGTTGATGTAGGAGCCTACGGTAAAACTTCCGATTCAACTATTTGGAGGGACTGCAGTTTATATGATGCAATGGAAGGAAATTATTTAGATCTACCTGGACCGCAAGCAATTACCCCTGTAGGTAGGCCCTTGCCTATGGTATTCATTGGCGATGAAGCCTTTGGATTACACAAACATTTGCTGCGACCATACAGCGGAAAGCAATTAATAATGAAAAAACGTGTTTTTAACTATAGATTATCACGAGCACGAAGATATGTGGAATGTTCCTTTGGAATTTTGACTAACAAATGGCGAATATTGCATAGGCCAATTAACGTGTCAGTTGAATTTGCAACAGACATAGTGAAAGCATGTGTCGTATTACATAATACGCAAGCGAGATGGCTATAAATTCGATGACACTTTATCGATAACTTCAAATTTGTTACGAATGCATTCCTTTGATCAAAGTCATGACGGGATTCGAGCAGATTATGTTAGAAATGAATTTGCCGACTATTTTGTGAGCCCTGAAGGTGAATTATCGTGGCAGTACAATAAAGCGTGAATGGTGTTGTTAGGTATACTCTGTTTAATAAATAGTAATTAATAAACTTACCACACTGGTTTTTTTCTTTTGTTTCTTTATTATCAAAATCTTCATAAAACTTCCTGCAGAGGATTTCCCATGCTTTGTTTTTGAATATGCGATTGAAATACTCCTCTGTCCTTTGATCCCAAATGCATGGCAAATTGCGAATCTCCTCAATAAACATATCCGTGTCAAGTCTCGGAGTCGGACATTTTAATTTTTCGCACAACCACGCGGCAACTCAGTACAACGCAGAATGAAAGGGGGGAGCGCAGGCGCCAGCTAGGCGCGCGCTGTTGATGACGTCATGTCGTGGCGATGTGGCCGCGGTGCCGCCGCCGGTGGTGGCGTTGACGTCGCGATGTGGTCGTATTACACAGGTGGTCGATAACAACGGCAAAATGTGGTACGTGTAAATTGTAATATTCATTTTCAATACAAAATATACGCCCGACCACATGGCGTCGTTGTGATGTGGTTGTGGCTGTGGTGTGGTTGTGGTACGTGTGAATTGACCCTATTTCCATCGGGCGAAAGTCGCCTGACGACTTGTGCGCTGGGACTTGGGCCTTGGGGCTGCAACAATCTTCGTTTAGTTTTTAGAAGCATGCTTCCTGACGTGACTTTTGTTTAGTGCTGTGAATTTTTTTCCATTTTTCTGCAGTGGTAATTATAGTTCTACGGTACGAATGCTGAAAATCCCCCTTTATCAGGGTCAAGCACACGTCATGCTTAACACTTAATATCTAAATTCAACTTTATGCCGCTTACGAAAAAAACCGGTCAAAGCACAAAGTGTCAAACTTGACGTAGGTATGTCGTACAATCTTCTTCGAGGATGGAAAAAAAAATAAAAGAACAATACTTACTTTTGACCACATCTAAGTGGTCTGTGATTTTGACTGTGTGTTCCCCGATTAATAGGTCTACAATTCTTCTTATAGAGGAGAAAGAGACACTTTTGAACAGGGATAGCTTGGAACGAACGCGTTTGCGCAGTCAGTGCAAATGAAAATGTAGTAAGAATTATGTTTATAATATGGCAACACCGAGCCCCACACCTGGTGGTCTACTCTCGATCTCCGTCCAACATGCATCCGAAACAGTTACTGCCGAATAAGCAATATTTCACCAAATGAAAAGACGCGTGATGCGAATGAAGCTTCATACTGGATACTTGTCTTTTAATTTTGTCGAATATTACTTATTTGACAGTAATTGTTTCGGAGGGAGATCGAGAGTACAGTGGCAACGGTCAGTGTGCGCCATCACTTATTTGTTTGTAGTGTGCGGTGCGCGCGCCATAAACTGAATGAGAGGTCGTGTTTAGTTTCAGCGTCGAAAAGTAAACATTCTCAAAAATAGTTGTAAGGATATTACTGGAAGAATATAGATAATGGTGAATTGAACTTTGCTTGTCGTATGGATTACTATATTGCTGAACTATTAAACCTACAGCTTGCAATCATTGAGTATTTTTACACTTGAAAAATATTTGTCATTTTGTAGAGTAAGTACTATTGGGGCAGATTTGAACGAATCAAAGGGGGCAGCTTTGAACACGTTTAGAGGTTCTGTTCTGATTAACTTCCTCTGCTAATATTTTTACAAAACAGGTTTTGTGTAAGTTTTTTAATTAAGTACCTTTATTCTGTTTTTTAGTATTCCTGTGACTTTATAATTAATTACTTATGAAGTTAAGTTTTTATTTATTTTTTTATATTGCAGTTAATAATTAAAACTTTGAGTTTTGGTTCCGTCCAAACTTTTTTAAAATCCTGTGATTATAGAAACAACTAAACAGATTGAAGAACTATATGTACTTACATATATATAATGTATATAAATATTATATGTTTTATATATATTGCAAAAGATTTTTTATAACGGGATTAATAAAAATATTTTGCAATAAATAAGTCATTTTCAATTAAATTTTAAACTGATTAATTCAAGGGCACCTTGCCCCAGGTGTGGGACAGATTGAAACATTTGAGTTCCTTCACAAAAGTGGGAATTCTACAATATTAGAAGTTTTTAGATTGTGCTTATTATGAATTATTATAGCCAAACAATAAGTCTAACTACAACAAACAAAACAAATAAATACTTTTGGTCTTAGAATAATAACGCATAGAAACCTAGCCCGCACACGCTAAGTGAGGCAAGTTAGAGGCTTCCTATACGGCCTACACGAGCGGGCGGGTTGTCAGTGCTCAAGGTCAAATTGCACCGCAAACAGCTCCAAAATTTTTGCTAAAAATGACGAAATGTGCGGCAAATGGGTGTAAAAATAGAACAGGCAAACATCAAATAGACACTAACATCACATTCCACAAGGAAGTAACGCGTTTCAACTTGTATTTTTATATAAACATTCACTAAAACCGAAAATTTATTTCGTTGCAACAAGACACGACAATGTTGCAAAGTAACGGATTTCTTTCTCCCGATTTTGCTGTTCTGTTTCAAAATAATTATATTACGTAATTTTTTGAGAATAGGCAATATCGCGATGGCTGCAAATTTTTTTTTATTCTAATGTAAGTGTGCATTTGACCTCCATTTCTGCAAGTTAAATGCGTACAAATGTTGTTTACAAAGAGCAACCCCCAGAGTTTATTGCTCATACTTCTCGGGGGAATCTGCCTTACGAATGAGCGGTAGAGTTTAACCAATGTGACGATTTCTAGTGTAATAATGCTTACCTATGACATAAAGATTATTTTGATTCTGGGTATCGTTTACGGGGTATATGGGGGTGCTCATTACGAATAT